TTATTATGACAACTAAGAAGTTTTCCAGAAACCAATTCAGAGATCTCCATTTCTCAAGCTATCGAATAATTTTCAGTTTCATGAATGCTTAATTCGGTGAGAAAAAGAAAACACGAGCAAATTCCACAGAGTAAGACTGTATCCCATTCTATTTGTAATGAAAAGTGAAGATTCTTATCAGAACAGGGCGTTTTTCTTTTTCAAGCAAATAGTTTCAACAAAAATTGCAAAGCTATGAATGATCATAACACTGCGAAAGGGTAAAAATACTAGAAATTTCGAATATTAGTTATCACAATGGTTGTCAACTTAACTGGGTTTATAAAGCGAAATCGCATACCCAGCCAAACTTGTCAAAAGTTGGTGGCTGATAGCTGACCTAAAGATGTTGAAGAATGAGTTGTGGCGCAAACGTGCCTCGGTGGTGTAGTGGTAGGGCACGCGTCCTCGGATAGGATGAAAAGCGGGTTCGATTCCAGTCTGAAGCCATGTTTTTGCTCACCACTCAATTCTCTTAGGTTTACAAAATTGGTTTTAAAAGAGAAATTTCAGTGTTTCCTGTTCTGTATTTCCATAAAATGACCCCGAAATCAAAATTTTTATTCAACAGATACCAATGAATCTGCGGCAAAAATCAAAGAATCGATGGCTAACTACTTTGAATGCAAAACATAGTCTTCTTTCATTTGAACGCCTACGAAGGCCTCTACAGAAGAGAAAATTGTCATCAAAATCCACATTTTTCGACCTACTGAGAGGCCATGAAAGCATAAATAAACTAAATAAATGAAATTGCTATCTAACAGTTGCGAATATGTTTCTTTCGCACAATTGGTTCTCTCATTTGAACACATGAAATTTTCAAAGAAAGCTTCCAAAGCCTTCAGCAATGTTCTATCCTTAGTAATGACAATGTTCCTTCAAAGCCTAAACTTTCCAAATAAATTCTTAGATTTCCATCACGAAGTGGGCGATGGCAGAGTGGCTAGTAATGTTCATCGGCGTGAGGCTGATACACACCTCTACACTCTCCGGCACTTATTTAACAGACGCCTTGAGAAACGCTCCAGCCTGACTATCTTAGAAATCGCAAGAAGATCCTCCCGACCAGTGCTCTAAGGTGCTCAAAAAGAATACGAGATCCTCAAGCAGCAGACGAAAAGGTGCGTGAAATATTTGGAGACCTTTTTGAATGGTGAATGCGACAATATGAATTGACCGCTAAAAGTACTGGAATGTGCACAAGCAATGTGACAGCGAGCCGTGAAAAAGAAATTTTTTCATTACGGCTTGCTCCATTGTATTAGGTTGGAAACTAAATTCTGTCGTACTTTTTTGTTATTTTTATTTATGCCGGGTTTCATGCCATTCGAAAGCTCATGATCTCGACATTCTAAATGCACAAGCTATTTTATTTTCATGCAATTGTATGATTTCTTTTTACCTTAGAATGAATACAGGTGCTTTATCACATCATCGCCTTTGCCAAAGCGACTTCCTGCTAAGGAATATTTCAACGATCTGAAGAGGTGATAATCACTTGAAGCAGCACTGGGCTATACAGTGGATAAATTTAAACGTTCCTACCCTAATTCTTCAACCTTTTGCAATGTCAAACGCGTAATATGTGGACGCGCGTTGTCTTGACGCCGCTTCGATAAAGTTGTTGCAGCTGATTTTGACATGTAGGTGTCGCCTTCACGAAACTATTTGAACCATCTTAGTGTAATTCGTAGATAACCGCCTTGCGGTTGAGTGTTCTACATAGCTTTGTGTCTCTTCGCTGGCAGAATGATCCAAGTGGAACGTTTAAGAGACGTTCACGGCCTAAGTTTTGAAATGTCCATTTTGAAGTAAAAGAAAATTTCATACAGTTACAAAAAAACAGAATGGTGTCATTGGCGCGCAACCAAAATCAAACATCAAACACAGTATTTAGTTGGTACAAGACAATCAGCAAGGAGGCGGCACTAATTTTCTGGAATTGCATTTTGTTTTCCAGCAGTGAACATGAGAAAAGGCCTAAAATATTAAAAAGCCAAAATCAAGGGGCTTTATGTATCATGGTCTGTACAAAACGCAGAGTAAAAGATGTGGACGGTAAACGACATTGATGTCCACCCAATCGTGAATGTATTAACTTTACACTGTGGAGGACTATAGCGTCTTGATGGACAAAATCTTACTTGCTGTGTCACTTCAATATCTAAAATATGACTCGAGCGAAAAAAATTTATTTCGTCGGCCTCACAGAATCGTCCATCCTGATACAACAAGAGAAGCTTTCAAGGATCCCCAGAATCTCACAGCTCTTATCTTAATCAGAGTTCAATATGACTAGGATATGCTTGTTCAAAGTTTAAATACTAAATTATACAGTGCGCGAGGTGGCTGTGAACCAATAAAAAGTCCATAAAGTGGATTCTGTATGAGTCAAGGAGCTCATGAGCATTTTGTTAAGCAAACAGAGCCACTTTTTACACACGTAATTGCTATTCTAGTTTCCTTTGACTCAGTAAAAAACCCATCCGATAACCAGCAGAAGAAAAATAAAAAAAGGAACATACAAGGAAGATTTTTCACCAGATTATAAGAAGAAGGCATTTCAAAGCTTTCAAAACAGTATAAATGAACGCGTGAAGGTTTTACTGCGGCTTACTGCTGCGATGTACGGAAAATCTCTAAATTATTTCGAAATTTTAATTAACTAATATGTTGCTCTGCAAGAATAAGCGTCCAGCTACTTTCTAACCAGCCCTATTAGAAAAAGCCTGAAACTGTAGAAAAAATCATCTACATGAATGAACAAATAGCTAGGAAACAAAAATAAGTAGAAGATAAAATGAAAAGCCTCGCGTAAATATCTTGGCTATAGCATAAGATAGTAATACACTTTAGTAGTTAAGTTACAGAAAGTACAAGAGATAACTTAGCTGCGACAAACTGAAGAGCAGCAGAGAAAGTGAAATGATATGAAGATGTATCGGTCAAATATGTTCCCACGTAAGTGGAAATCCATTCATATCGAATTCCAAGTGTTAAAAGATGAGGAATCACGCTCGCTAACATAGGCTAGACAACTGGGTGGAGTTGTATTACGCAACCTGTTTATCACGCAATCGTGATAGTGAAAACCGTCTGTGGGCAACATTACGCAGGTATTTTAAATTTTTTTCGGTACCCAAAAAGGGTGCAAACTCAAGAGGCCAATCGGCAGAAAGAACTTTCACTGTCGATGGCTCAGCTACAAAAAACCTTCAACTTTTTTGAAAACCAGGTGAAGCGAGCTGACATTTGAATATTTTGTTCCACTAATAGACATATGCTGGAGTTATGAGCAAGAAACTGTTCTAGCTCATGATACAAATAGCAGTTATATACTAGTAGGGCCAACTCGTCGAGAAACCTTCATATACCCTCTTAACAACAGCTCCTCTCAACTGTGTAGCCTCAAACGATGCCAAGGTCTACCTAAGAGAGTCCAACTGCGATGCACAGTAGCGAATCCAGCCTGAAACAGAATGGCAAATTTCATAGACTATGTGTGATTTTTCCAAATACCGTCTACTTTGTTCTCTGACCCAGTGAAAAACTTGTTTGGTCATTAAAGTGCCAATCGAATCGAAGCGGTCCAAAAGTCATAATGTTTTCCTTCGGGACGGGACCTCCAGGTATCAAATGTGGAATTCTCATCTGCCTTAATACACTTTAGATAGTTAATTGGCATATAAAACCCCTTATAGGTGATGTAGGATGCCCATTATCGTTAGCCCTCCTTTAGAATGCCAACATTCCACTTACGAGGTTTTGACACTCCGACCATGAAAACTTGCCTACTGACTTTCAACGTCTGTTTCTGAGTCATTTGAATATGCTTCCAATTGATTTCATTCCCTCACAACATTTTGACAAGTGCCACAACGATCCGCTTGTGATATACAGAGCGTTTCTTTTGGAAGAACACCTTATGTGCAATACCAGAGTATCTTCAACACATGTTAGAACAGCTTGTTCATTAGATCCGTGGTTTGATTTTCTTTCAGTTCAGTAAACATGCTCTTTTATAAGACGCCTTGTTGGCTCATTCACTTCAGAAAAAAAAAACTCTCCATCTTTTAAGCAGCTGTTATCGAACAATCGATCGACACTTTTTCTTAATTGTAATGCAAGCACTGAAAATAGATAGCATTGTTTGTGTAAAAGCCTGTTGATGTAAGAATTTTTCTCGTCTTAATACTTTGACGCTTTCTACATCTACATCTATCCCAACACTTTGGAACACGAATTTAGTGGTGCAAGCTCGTTTTATATTACTGTTAGACTAACTTCAAACCTTTCGAATTCCTTCTAATTATGATAGAAATCGCTCATGCATCACTAAACCTTAACAGTCGTTCGTTTCGCCGCTTATATTTTTTGGTAAAATCGGCTCTCTCAACTCTTTTACAACAATGTGCACATTATTTTATTCATATTCAGCCAAATATCTTTTGAATACACTGGAAAATCAAGTCCTTTTTCTGGCTGGTTTTTTGTTTTTGCTTTCTTTTCTTGAAACCAACCAACAAAATGATTGTGTGCAAATACCAGATCACCTCTTTTTGGGATCCCACGAAAAGTGTAGGCTGAAGCGGGTACGCATATATGTCTGGCGTTCCAATCAACGGTTAAGAGTAAGGTTAAGGGACCTTAAAGGCATCACGGTTATGGTACGATGCCTTTTCTCGATATTCTCGTGACGAAGTTACAAATAGTAGCTCGACATGCGCTCTTATAGTCTCTTTATTCGTTTTCGAAGGTCCTCGTTAACGGTGTTGTGGTGCTTTGTATTACATTGTGTTAATGTACAGTGCTGTGCTCTGTATTGTACTGCATTACTACTGCTCAATGAACACTACTGCCACCACCTCGCAACAGCTTATCACGGCAAAACTACTGATTTATAAGTCTCTGACAGATGGATGGCTATAGAAGATTTTACGGAAATACATCACTGAAGAGCCTCTGTGGTGTAGTGGTAGTAGCATGCATCCCCGGTATGGCTGAAACGCGGGTCGATTTCCGCCTGAGGTCGTGTTTTTCTTTTGCTCACCACTCAATCTGCTTAGGGATATCCTTTGCGGACGATGAGGGTCAATATGACCCTCACCTGGCCGCACCGCTCGGACGAGCTAGGAGAAGTGGTGCGTGCTCCAAAAAAATTCGTATCAATAAAGCTCTAAGAGGAACATTGTGATGAAAAAACGATGAAATTTCACTGACAAGAAAATAGCCATATACGTGCGAAAAGTTCATATCCTAGGGGTTGTTGAGTATTTTTCTTACATGTTCTTGATATTTTTGTAGTCAATGAATAACTTGAGAAATTCTGACTCTAATACTATGCTTGTTAAAAAATAATCTCACAGTACGTTCTAATGAAAAATAAAGGATGACATTTTGCAATGGCCATCCAATTTTCTCACTGGAAGCGAATTTTTCGGGATTAGTTAGTTAGATTTTGATTTTTATATACTTTCATGATAGAAATAACTCAAATAATCATTAAAGAGCTTTTATAAACGTAATTATAAAGAGAATAACGCTCAACTGTCTTGAAAATTCTCACTTTTGGAAACGATTTTTATCACATGTAATCGCATTTTAAGAGTTGCAGTCTTAAGACTTTGATTTATTCTAGAAAAGAACTATTCCACTAGATTACTAGTGTTCATTCAATAGCTGAAATCAAGTGAATTTGAATGGTGTATTTTGTTTCACAAATGCTTTTTTTTTAGCTGTAACAGTCGAAATGAAATTTTGTTCACATTTGGAGATTTCTCGCCTGATAAAGTTTCTTCTATGAATAACCAATGAACATTCGATAGTGCAAATCTCAGCGATTTCGAAAACGTAGTCTATTTTTAGAGAGGACTCCTTAGTGAGCTGTGGGAGTCAAAAGAAGATTGGGTTTCGCACTCCAAAGGGTGGAATTCGCGAAATTGGTCTTGAGTCACCGTGCCTTTAGCAACACATGAATAACTGCGAAACGTTATCTTTTTCTGGCTGCTGTAGTACAATAAAGAGTTCTTTCCAGAAACAAGGTTATGAAATCGTTGAGATTTGAGCTATCGAAGAATTATAAAAAGTCCAGCGGAAAAGCTTACTTCAGTGGGAAATGCTCAAGTGTGAAAGCTATATCTCGTTTTTTACTGTAAGAGCGCGTTGAGAGAGCCATCTTAAGAATGAAGTATGCCATCAAAATTTTCAAGATTTAAGCTATCGAATGGTTACCGATAAGTTTTAAAAAATTCAGGAAACGCGTTTTTCCCAAGAGATGCTCAAAACAAGATGAGGACGTTGAAAATTATCCAAATTTGCGAAATGTAATCTTCTTTTGACCGCGCTACAACACTCTGAGAAGTCTTTCATCAAAATCAAGCACACCGTTGAAATTGCAAAAATTTCTTCTATCTGATACGATTATGAATTGCTTATTTAAAGCTTTATCCAGCAAGAAATGTTTGAATGTGAAATAAAATATAGTTTTTCGACTGTTACAGCGAAGAAAACAGGCTCAAGGTGACTGGAGCATTCGAAGATTTTCGTTGCGTTGAGAGTGAATGAAGCACTCAAAACCCATCCGTTCCTCAAGAACATCGTTTTCGTTAGATTTAGTTAAATACCAACCTTTTCGCGCGCGCTGTCGAAATCGGTCAGCATTCGTTCCTTTTGGCTAATGCTTGATGTTATGAGGACGATATCATCAGAAAAGCGAAGATGGTTTGATTGCCGACCGTCAACTTTCAACCCCATATCGTCCCATTCTAATGTTCGCATGACGTTTTGGAGGGTGGCAGTGAACAATTTTGTCGAAATTGTATCGCCTTGTCGAACCCCTCTTCTTACGTCAATGGTGATATCGGTCAGAAATACCCAATAATTCAAAGCGCTGTGCAGAAACGTTTGTGTCAGCCGAGATTCGAACCCAGGTCTCACTCTTTCCGGGAGCATATGATAATCGTTACACCACCTACGCTTGTTTTGCACAGCACTCTTTCTACGCTACAACGCGTGTTATTGTTGTAGAATGGAGATATTTCGGTTGTGGATTCTTTATATAGCCCACTGAAACGTCGTTTTATACGTTTCCACCAAAGGGCTCAAAGAGGGTGGAGAGAACGCGAAAGAACCGCTATAACTCCATGTCTTCCTCGCATACCATAGCTATGAGTAGAGAATTCGAACGGGATTATGCACTGCTCTGAGAAATGGCAATCCAAACTCCACTAATAATCAAAAAAATATCAGGAATTATCGATGAAGGGAATGCAACAAGCAGCACTATTTTTGACGAACTGCTCATTGTTTCCAATTTTAAGCCAGTATGATTGACTTTATGCACTTCATGCAATAAAGTATACGTAAAGATAAAAGGAAATAGAGAATGAATTTGATTGGTTTGTAGGTAAGTATGAATAAAATATCGTAGAAATGTACGATAAAGCTTCTAGATATAACCTTTTATTGAATACTTGGTTTTTTTCCTTTGAAAGTGTTGATAATGATCGGGGCAATTACGTTGTTTCTAATAAAATTAACCTTACTAAGGTCCGTTTTATTACATCTGACCATTTATTGACACAGAAATCCCACATGTTGACAAAAAGAAGTATATTTTTCATAAGAGAACTACCACATTCCTTGGAGAGCATATTGGTGGCTCTTTTCGCAGCCGTCTAAGCCACCCGCCAGCCTAAAATGGCGCCGTCCGCAAAGGGATATATGTGACATTATAACTCTGCGAGAAAAGCAGTAAAAAATACTAGAATTTCAAAGTATCACACCACTGAGGAGTTTCAAAAAGTGGTATCTGCTTAATGGAACAATTGTGAGCATATTTAGTAAAGCAGAGCTTCATATTTCAGTTCTTTCAACGTTTTTGAATAGTTATGCAGCATGCAAGTGGCGGTTGGTTAAACGTTATTGTGTGAAAGAAAATATCATTTTTCTTTAAGCAAACTAGCCAACCTGCAATTTTCAATGAATTCTATAGACATTTCAATGAAAATTCTTCGCATACGAAGGTACCAATAAAATTCGCTAAGCTAGCAACAGCTGACTGAGCACGAAATGGTTCCCAAAACAATACCTATCAATCCACCATCTTGAGACCTCACATAGGATTCAATATAGTCACACTGTTTTGAGCCATTCGGAGGTCCGGAGGATAAAGACATCTATAAGTGGTATACGCACGTTTCAGCGTATTCTCACACGCTGCATCAGTACCGCATGGCTTTCGGTTCTCCCTACAAGTACATCTTCGGTGCCGTTACCATTAGTTGTAAAGGTGAACCGAAAGGCATGTCGTACTGATGAGGAGTGTGAGAATACGCCGGAACGTACGTATACCACTAGAGATGCCTTCACCAGACCTCTGAAAGGCTCAAAACATTATACCAGATTATACTGATGTTTCTATAACATTCTATCTTTGAAAATGTCGTCCTACGCAACATATCTGTGAAACATTAGAAAGAACTTTCCTGATCTGTGAGCGAAACACATTTTTAACCTCGTGCTAAAACATGAAAAAATGAAAGAACACTTTTTGTTTTGCAGGCAAAACTCAGAACAGATTCTATGACGACAAATTTTTCCTTACCTTCCGTTCAATTCGTAGACATTTGTCATGTATTGCTAGGAAGTTGTTGCCTTATCCTAATGTTTTCGCAGGTACTCTGCTGTAGTTGAATGTGCTCAGGTCAGCGTCATCAAACAAACCGGACTACCTAGGAATTGTGTCAGAAAATCACATGAACTCAAATGAAACCAAATGACACACATCGCCGCACTATAAGCTTGAAACTTATCTCGTTGGCCCCACGTGAAAGTGACACTTTTTGATGGATTACTGCATTTTTGACAATGGTTATCATTGTGAATTTCGGCAGATTAATGAATTCGAGCAATGAATCAAAAACATCAATAATGATTCTGTGTGGAAAAGAGCCGTATAGAGTTGTTTTATTTGATAAGTGAGCTTTCATTTTGTTGAGGATTAAATGTAAATAGTCCTTATACTGAGGAAAAAAACTTCGAGGTGGAATGTAGATAGAGACTCCTAATGAAGTTTGCCACCAAGCTGGCTTTGTCATCTCGACAACCAACAATATTCATTTGCAAGAAAACAATAAAGCTTTATCTCTCATTTGCAAAACCGTTACAAAGGAAAAAATGTAGAAACAATGACCTCCGTCTTACGGAAAAACAATACACCCATCTATGAAATAACGCGTTGTATGGCCGAAAAATAAGTTATTTCTGTATTTTGAAGAAGTTGCCAATCTCTGCTGAATTTTTTGGTTCCTAATGACACTATCGCTGTTATCGTTTTTTGCCTTTCCACGAACAAAGCCCTCTCAGCAGCATCATATTTGGACCAAAAGGCAACCTCCTTGATAAAAGCGCATTCCACAACCTCTGTTATCGAGAGCTCAAAGGTGAAGAATTAAACTACGAGCAATGGAATTTCGTTGTAACTGCGGCGCAATAGAAAGTACTCACTGCTGGCGACATTCTGCTCCAGATTATCTCCAATCCAGAGATTGAGGTGCAAATAAAGTTCTTGAAATCAATATAACTTTTTTTCACTGTTGTAAGCATTTCAGAGCCTATATAAATCCATTTTTTCCACAAAACTAAGAATTAAGGTGATTGTGAGCATTTTTCTAAATCTATTGTAGGAAAAATTTCGAGTTCTTATATTTTCATGTAAACCTAGGAGAATTGAGTGGTGAGCCAAAGTATGGATAAAACCCCGGGTTCGATTCCCGCCTGAGGCCGTGTTTTTTGCTCACCACTCAATTCTCTTAGGTATATATGAAACATTATAACACTGCGAAAAATGCAGTAAAATTGCTAGAACTTTCGCTTATAATTTCTCTAAAGAATTTTACTCGAAGACATTTTGAAAGAATACCTGTTCGACGTGGAGGCAAAAAATTGCTCTCAAAAATTCTTATTGTACTCCATGAAAGTAATTAGTGACTGTTGTGAACTTTCTCAATGAATGAAAACCCTGCGTTAAGCCTATATGATATTAAGCGGATTGATTTTGGACATCCAACGGACATACTGAAGTACATTAGTAATGATCATATCGTTCAAGGCGCTGCTCAACCCTGCCCTGATTCAACCGAATTCTCATTCTCCAATTCGAGAAAGCCTGTAGCGGATTTTTCAGCTCGTTTTCTATTATGCACATGAGATACTCCGTGCTTTTGATGATGATTTGAGAATGCTCGAACACGAATAGCCTAGAATTTCGAAAAAAGTGACCTATTTATTATTCAAACGGTGTCCACGAGGTCAAAATTTGAGAATCTTCGGAAATAAATGACTTGATTTTTGATCGGCGTTTGTAAGCAAGTGTTTGGAATGGATTGGCGTTCCACATGAAACCTATTCACATAACAACAAGCACTTTTACAGTCCAAAACTTACGTATATTACGCTGTTAAAAATTCAGAAACTCTTTTCTGTGATTTCGGAGAAAATTACACTCAGTTTGCGTTCGAGTTACCTTAGTGGAGCCTATGTGCTAAACTGGCCACGGTGCAGGCGACAGAGGTATTCTATCCCACATGTCGTTTAGCCCATTGATTACGACAGGGACACACTTCTCTAGTCCCGACTCGTCGTACGCGGCGACCTTCCGTATTGTCAAGTGGTTAGTGTTGCCGTGTGCAGCTAGCCGGGGTTGGCAGCGTGTCCGTGGCGCACCCAGTCGGTAAGGGTAAGCTGTCAAAGTACTTGAGCATTTTTTTCAATTTTACATGACCCGTTATCACATTTGTGCGATCGTCCTTTCAATTTGTTTTTTTCGCATTTATCGTCCCAAAGTTCCGAACATTCTGTGTGTTAATGCGACTGCTGAATAATGATTCCGTTATCTTCCTGACTATCATAGAATGTTAATAGAGTGGAAATCCTCTGCAATTTTGAATGGTCGATTTGAGGCGTTCCCACATGATTGTACGAGAGCGTTAGGAGGAGCTTGAAAGAGCACGTTTATCCTGCTCTACATCATTAACCAATGCGCTATTACAGCCTCTATTTAATATTATTATTAATACTATTGTCCAGTTATTACTCTGTTGCTACTCTTTTTTTATTACCGCTACTACTTTTGATATCATTATCGATATTTTATTATAACTCTCAACAATATTGCGCGCTTGTTTTTTATTATTGCAGCAGATATTGCATCATAACAATAATTATTATCAGTTTTACTGATAATATTGCAATTAATGTTGTTATTATTCTTCATTAGTTGTTGGAGTCGAATATGTCTTCATAGGTTCCCGCATGCTTTTTATCATTTTGTCGTTGTTGAAATTACGTGACATCACGAATTACTGCCGTAATGGATGTGATGTGGTTATGCTCAACGCTTCTCAATTAGGTAGTATTTCATGTTCTTACCCTTCTCTTTGCCACCATTAACAGAATTTTCTATTTACACTTTCCGGTGATAACCGTGGCCTACCAGAGCAAAGAGAACGATAGGGCGCGACTTGTTGCAATACTCCATGGCGCTCCATAATTTTGAAGCCTGGATGCCATTAACTTATCAGAGTTTTCAGATGCGAATTCTTCTGTCCCTCATAACATACCATGACCCCGCCCGTATTACGCTTTGCTGATTCTAACAGTTCTTGCATTCGGTTCGTTTCCTTCCGTCCATCATCTAGGAACTCACCGTAATTTGTTTGCCTGTGGTCGAGGGCTGCTGTCTGATAATTGTTTTCCCTTTCTTCAATGCTGGCCAAGACGACTGTCATTCATGCGGTGAGATAGGTGGGCTAGAGAGTTCGTGTGTGGAATGAAAAAAGAGTCAGTCGTTAATAGACTAATCTGGCACAAATTTCTCTACCCTGAAAGGATGAGAGACTCAGTCGGTCCGGTTCAGGACAAAATTATTGTCTGGGTAGGTTGAAGCGTTCGCATACTAGACCGAATCACTACCAT